ATAATATGTTTAGATGTTCAACAGAAGGCAGCTATAATTTTGTAACATTCTCCAGAAGAAGTGAGCAAAGTACAGTCTGCCTGGCAAACTACCAATCACCTGTTTTTGTAAATAAAGTTTTATTGTAATACAGCACACTTATGACTACTTCTGTGCTACAGTGACAGAGTTGAGCAGCAGAAAGAGTAATGACAGTTATAACAGAGACCATATGCCCACAAAACCTAAAATATTTACTCTCTGGCCCTGTATAGAAGATGCTTGCTGACTCCCACTTATAACACAGATTTCACCACAACTTGTAAAATAATATGATCTCATGTTAAACCATTAATAAACCCAATAAGCTTTCCTGCCTTTCTCTTCACAGGGTTCCAAATGATCTGACAAGATAGACCCAAATTGTTTGATAGGATGAAAAAAATCAAAGGCATTTTAATAGTCTTTATGATGCTCAAAATGTGGTCATGAAATGCACACAAAGACAATGGCTGGTCTCATGGCTCCTTCTCCTTGTCTGGCCTCAATTGTGAATGGATATAGCCAAAAACGTCTGATAGGGTTGGTGATGCAAAACAATATGCAAAATCCAACTCTCTATAGCTACCTGATAGCTTAGGTGTAGTACTTGCATAATAAAGAATTGGCTCACATGATTATTGAAGCTGACAAGTCCCAAGATCTGCTGTCAGCTGAAAGCTGGCAAGCTTGAGACCCAAAAAGAACTGATGTTTCAGTTCAAGTCCAACCGCATGAAAAGACCACTGTACTAGCTCAAGCAGTCAAATAGGAATTCCGTCTTATTCAGCCTTTTTGTTCTATTGAGGTCTCCAGCTGACAAGCTGAAGCCCACTGGCACCAGTGTGGGCCACTTGCCCTACTCAGTCTACCAATTCAAATGTTCATCTCATCCAGAAACTCCCTCACAGAGACACCAGAATCCAGTTCGACCAAATATGTGGGCACCCTGTGGTACAGTTAAACTAACACCTAAAATGAATAATTATAGTAGGTAGACAGCTGTGAATCAAATTTTCTATCAAGTAGAAAGTTTAGGACTCTTGCAAATACCAACATATTTATGAAGATTTTTTTTATTGTTATAGCATAGATAGATTAAAAAATTAGGATTTTAAAAAACTGTTTATATAAAATGTCTAAGGGAGAAACTGTACACTCTTAAAAAAACTAGAATTCTACGTTCTAGTACCTCCTGAAGTTACATACACTAATATGTAAACAAGTTTATATATGACAGAGGGTAAAAATTTATCCAGGACTCTTGAAAATAGTAGGTTATATGCTAGATTACATCCTTTTCTTGAAGGCATAATAAAGTAGACCATACCAAAAACTCTCACTAGTATGAATTGAGTTTATATCTCCCAATATATTCTTTTCCTCTCAACTAGCACACTGAACATTTCTTACAAGTATAAAGGCCTGGATACAGCAACAATGTAGATCATCTTACTTTACTCCTTAACTCCAAACACCCAATAGGAAACATTTATCTTGCAAAATACCAATACCAAAACATTTATTAACATATGTGTGCCTAATATTCACCTTCATATATTTTTATTAAACCTAGTATTTCTTCACCTTTGAAAACTTGAGATAATAGAAAGTATTGTAATAATAGAAATTAATCATCTATAGACAATTTACTATAAATCTTGCTACTTTATTTTAAAATTCTGTTGTAGACCTCACATTTTATAAAAGAGACGTATTTTTACAGAATTGCAATGATTTCTTCTGTTTTTCAAACCCAGCAGAGTAAACACAAGTTAAGAAATTCTACTTCCAGTTGCCTGCTGACATTACTGATTATTGTCTTGCATAAACAAGGAAATACCTATTAGAGCTCTCTACTAAGACCAACAACAAATAGTTGGAGGGAGATACCTAATGGAAACAATAACTGTTTAAAGACCCTTTGATTCATCCCTGTTTGAAACCAAAAAGAAATAATAAATAATATAGCGTGTCTATATTTCTAGGAGATTAGTGTTTCAACTTGGAATTTCAGTATGTAGTTCTGATAGACTATTAGGAAGGGTTGTGAGGAGATTTTAGTGACCTCAGAGAACTTGTTTTGTAGCATGTTGAAATCTGTTAAGCACCTTCTGAATACAAATGTTCATTTTCTAACTCTTTTCTAGAATTTTAAGTTAGAAATAGATGACTTTTTCATAAGGATCATGCACATGCTGAACATTTTAATATCTGAATTTAGCAAAACCCAAAACGCATTTGGTCAAAGCTGAGCCATTTCTCAAATTCTATACACAGGCATAATTCAAAAGCAATTTATTTCATGTGTTGTTTCTGATTCATTCACATTTCACTTTTCTCATCAGAAGTTGATTTTATAAGAGTTTAGTTTTTGTCCAAAATATCTTATGAAATTTCATTTTATAACATTTTGAAACACTCTTATTTTGAAAAGAGAAAGTAACTATAAAAACTCGTGCCTCTACAACAAAAGCCAAAATAGACAAATGGGACCTAATTAAACTCCAGAGCTTCTGTACAGCTAAAGAAACAATCATTAGAGTAAATCGGCAACCAACAGAATGGGAAAAATTTTTTTGCAATCTACCCATAAGACAAAGGGCTAATATCCAGAATCTACAAAGAACTAAAACAGATTTACAAGAAAAAAATAAACAAATCCATTCAAAAGTGGGCGAAGGATATGAACAGACACTTTTCAAAAGAAGACATACATGAAGCCAACAAACATATGAAAAAAATGCTCATCATCACTGGTTATTAGAGAAATGCAAATCAAAACCACATTGAGATACCATCTCATGCCAGTTAGAACAGCGATCATTAAAAAATCTGGAGACAACAGATGCTGGAAAGGATGTGGAGAAATGGGAACACTTTTACACTGTTGGTAGGAGTGTAAATTAGTTCAGCCACTGTGGAAGACAGCGTGGCAATTCCTCAAGGACCTAGAAATAGAAATTCCATTTGACCCAGCAATCCCATTACTGGGTATATATCCAAAGATTTATAAATTGTTCTATTATAAAGACATACACATGCATATGTTCACTGAGGCACTGTTTACAATAGCAAAGACCTGGAACCAACCCAAATGCCCATCTATGACAGACTGAACAAGGAAAATATGGCACATATACATCATGGAATACTATGCAGCCATAAAAAAGGATGAGTTCATGTCCTTTGTAGGGACATGGATCAATCTGGAAACCATCATTCTCAGCAAACTGACACAAGAACAGAAAATCAAACACATCACATGTTCTCACTCATAGGCAGGTGTTGAACACATGGGAGGGGAGTATCACATACTGGGTTCTGTTGGGGGTGGCCCAGGGGAGGCACAGCATGGGGATGGGGAGGTTGGGGAGGGATAACATGGGGAGAAATGCCAGATATAGGTGACGGAGGGAAGGGGGCAACAAACCACATTGCCATGTATGTACCCATACAACAATCCTGCATGATCTGCACATGTACCCCAGAACCTAAAGTACAATAAAAATAAATAAATAAATAAATAAATAAATAAATAAAAACTTCTGCCTCCAAATTACTAATTTGGTTTAAATTGACTCTATTCTTAGCAAAATATTTTCATACTCTCAATTATGAATTATCTTTTCCTTAAAATTTCAATTATCTTTTCCTTAAAATTTCTTATAATTCTATCGGGCTAGATATAGCTTGCAATGTAACTAGATGATCTATAACACCATCATTGCAGCATTTACAAAATTATGTTCTCTAGAACTCTAATGTGTCAAGGGATTTTAAGAGGTATTCATGAGCAGAAAGTGGTTAGGGGTGGTAGTCAAATAAGAATGGAAATGCTGAGTTAAAGCCAAACAGGATTGTTTACTACAAGATTTCTCAGAACTTGTATATGCAAAATGAATACTCAAGAGCAAGATACAGGCCAGGTGAAATGGTTCATGCCTGTAATCCCAGCACTTTGGGAGGCTGTAGCACAAGGATAACTTGAGTGGAGGAGTTTGAGGCGGCAGTGAGCTATGACTGCACCACTGCACTCCAGCCTGGGCAACAGAATAAGACTGTTTCAGGAAAAAAAAAAAAAAAAAAAGGAAGAGAGAGAGAGATAGAGATAGGAAGTAATGTTTCGCAAATTTATTTAACCATGAAACACTTAACAAACCTCTTAACTTGTTTTACAGAATATCATTAATATTCTGTAAAAACAATTTGAAATCTGATCATATGATCTCAAACACTAATGAGGTGATTGAATTTATTATCATCCACCTGTCACTGAGATAATCTAGTTAACATTTTCAGGAAAGTAATACCCCAGGTATTTTTAAAGTATTACTAATAACTCCATTTTAACATGATAGAAACAAGTTGGGAATCTGAGTTTTAATTAATATAATAATAACCTGAAAGCCATATTGAAAATACTGTCTAAGTCTAATTCACAAGGTTTTAGAGCAAGGTTTCTGAAAAAAAAAAAAAAAAAACTGACAACTATTAAATTTTTGGTGAATTAAAAGTATAATATATAGCCATTTATTGATTATGACTTTACCATTTATTTTTTGAGACATGATCTCCCTCTGTCACCCAGGCTGGAGTGTAGCTGTACCATCATGGTTCACTGCAGCCTCAACCTCCTGGGATCAAGCAATTCTCCCACCTCAGCCTCCCAAGTAGCTGGGACCACAGGCATGCACCACCAAGCCTGGCTAATTTTTGTATTTTTTGTAGAGAGGGGGTTCCACCATGTTACCCGGGCTGGTCTCCAACTCCTGAGCTCAAGTCACCTGCCCACCTTGTCTTCCTAAAGTGCTGGGATTATAGATGTGAACTACTGCACCTGGCCTGACTATAACATATTTAATTCTGAGGACTCACGGGAAGATGGCCAACTAGGAACAGCTCAGGATTGCATCTCCCAGTCAAAGTGCAGAGGGCGAGTGGACGCTGCATTTCCAGATGGATTTTTATTGCCCACAGACCAGGAGATTCCCAGGCAGAGGAGCCCCATGGGTCGCCAGCACGGCTGTTTCGGCCCACACAGCTGCTTTGCCTGAGCCCTGGCGCTGCGGTTCTCCGTACAAAAGACACTGGTCTGGGTGCCCTCTTAGCTGGCGATAGGAGCCCTGAGATGGCAGAGTCGCCCATTCATCTGAAATAGCGAGCCAGGCCAGGAGATTCCTCGGCAAAAAAACCACCAGGAATATCAGCACTGCTGTATTAGCTGGCTCAGTGAGTCGTGGCGCGAGAGATCTCAGCGCCTTTTCAACAGGCAACTGGAACACTGGGAGACAGTCGACCATTCAACAACAACAACAAAAAAGGACTCTGAGTCAGAGAGACAGGTGATCAGGCTCGGCTGGTCCCACCACCCCCTACCCCCACAAAAAAAACAAAAAAAAAAAACAAAAAACAGTAATTGAAAATGCTCTGGGTTGAGAGTTTCACAGCAAGCACAGCTGAACCCCAGACAATCCGGCTCTGTGGGGGAGGGGCATCCACCATTACTAAGACACTCCACCACTACAGAGGCAGTCTGACCATCACTGAGGCAGCCCACCGTGGCTGAGGCAGCCCGCTGTTGCTGTGGCAACCTGCCACTACAGAGAGAGTCCGCCATAACAGAGGCAGGCCACCATTGCCAAGGCAGTTCTAACTACACCCATATAAACAGGACTGCAGGGAAGATCGCACAGCAGCTGGGCGGAGCCCACAGCAGCTCAGCAAAGCCTCTGCAGGCAGACAGTGACTAGGCTGCCTCCTCGCTGGGCAGGGCAGCCCTGAAAGAAAAAAAAAAGGCAGCAGCACAATGGAAACTCATAAATAAAGCCCAAACTCCCTGGGACAGAGCACCTGGGGGAAAAAAAAAAAAAAAGGAGTTTATGAGCTCTGCTGCAGCAGACCACCTAAATGTACCTGCCCAGTAACTCTGAATGAACAACAGAGCTCACAGCTCAGGACCTGAGCTCCAATAAAGAACAGACTGTCTCCTCAAGCAGCTCCCTGATGCCCATATATCCAAAGAGTCACCTCATAAAGGAGAGAACAGATTGACATTTGGTGGGCATCCTTCTGGGACAAAGATAGCAAAAGAGGAAACTGGTAGCAACCCTCACTGTTCTGCAGCTGCTGCAGGTGATCCCCCGGCAACCAGGGCCTGGAGCGGACCTCAGCAGTCCTACAGCAGAGGGGCCAGACTGTTAGAAGGTAAGCTAAGAAAAAGAAGTAACTTCAGCATCCACAAACTGGAACTTCACTCAGAGACCCAATCTGAAAGTCAGTAACTACAAAGACAACAGGTGGATAAACCCACAAGGATGGGAAGAAACCAGCGCAAAAAGGATGAAAACACCCAAAACCAGAACACCTCTCCTCCTAAAAGGGATCACAACTCCTCACCAGCAAGGGAACAAGGCTAAATGGAGAAGGAGTGTGATGAAATGACAGAATCAGACTTCAGAAGATGGGTAATAAGAAACTACAGTGAGCTAAAAGAACATGTTCTAACCCAATGCAAAGAAACTAAGAACCTTGAAAAAAGATTTGACGAAATGCTAATGAGAATGGACAACATAGAAAGGAATATAAGTGAATTGATGGAGCTGAAAAACACAACACGAGAACTTCACGAAGCATGCACAAGTTTCAACAGCCGAATTGACCGAAGAAAGGATATCAGAGGTCAAAGATCAACTCAATGAAATAAAACGAGAAGGCAAGAATAGAGAAAGGAAAGGGTAAAAAGGAATGAACAAAGTCTCCAAGAAATGTGGGACTATGTGAAAAGACCTAATCTACGTCTGATAGGTGTACCTGAATGTGACAAAGAGAATGAATCCAAGCTGGAAAATACTCTTCAGGATATTATCCAGGAAAACTTCCCCAACCTAGCAAGGCAGGCCAGTATTCAAGTCCAGGAAATACAGAGAACACCACAAAGATATTCGTCAAGAAGAGCAACCCCAAGGCACATAATCGTCAGATTCACCAGGGTTGAAATGAAGGAGAAAATGCCAAGGGCAGCCAGAGAGACAGGTCGGATTACCCACAAAGGGAAGCCCATCAGACTCACAGCAGATCTCTCAGCAGAAACCCTACAAGCCAGAAGAGAGTGGGGGCCAATATTCAACATCCTTAAAGAAAAGAACTTTCAACCCAGAATCTCCTATCCAACCAAACTAAGCTTCATAAGTGAAGGAAAAATAAAATCCTTTGCGAATAAGCAAGTACTCAGAGATTTCATCACTACCAGACCTGCTTTACAAGAGCTCCTGAAAGAGGCTCTACACATATAAAGGAAAACCAGTACTAGCCACTCCAAAAACATACCAAATGGTAAAGAGGATCAACACAATCAAGAATCTGCATCAACTAATGAACAAAACAGCCAGCTAACATCAAAATGGCAGTATCAAATTCACACATAACAATATTATCCCTAAATGTAAATGGACTAAATGCCCCAATCAAAAGACACAGACTGGCAAATTGGATAAAAAGACAAAACCCATCAGTGTGCTGTATCCAGGAAACCCATCGCACATGCAGGGATACACAAAGGCTCAAAATAAAGGGATGCAGGAAGATTTATGAAGCAAATGGACAGCAAAAAAGAGCAGGAGTTGCAATTCTCATCTCTGATAAAACAGACTTTAAAGCAACAAAGATCAAAAAAGACAACAAGGACATTACATAATGGTAAAAGGATCAACGCGACAAGAAGAGCTAAAGATCCTAAATACATGCGCACCCAATACAGGAGCACCCAGATACATAAGGCAAGTTCTTAATGACTTACAAAGAGACTTAGACTCCCACACAATAATAATGGGAAACTTTAACACCCCATTGTCAATATTAGACAGATCAACCAGACAGAATATTAACAAGGATATCCAGGACCTGAACTCAGACCTGGAACAAGCAAGCCTAATAGAACTCTCCACCCCAAATCCACAGAATATACATTCTTCTCAGCACCACATCACACCTACTCTAAAATTGACCACATAATTGGGAGTAAATCACTCCTCAGCAAATGTAAAAGAATGGAAATCATAACAAACAGTCTCTCAGACCACAGTGCAATCGAGTTAGAACTCAGAATGCAGAAACTAACTCAGAACCGCACAGCTTCATGGAAACTGAACAACTGGCTCTTGAATGTTGACTGGATAAACAACTAAATGAAGGCAGAAATAAAGATGTTCTTTGAAACCAATGAGAACGAAGACACAACATACCAGAATCTCTGGGACACATTTAAAGCAGTCTCTAGAGGAAAATATCTAGCAATAAGTGCCCACATGAGAAGAAAGGAGAGATCTAAAATTGAAACCCTAGCATCAAAATTGAAAGACCTAGAGGAGCAAGATCAAAAAAACTCAAAACCTAGCAGAAGACAAGAAATAACTAAGATCAGAACAGAACTGAAGGAGATAGAGACACAAAAAAAACCTTCAAAAAATCAATAAATCCAGGAGCTGATTTTTTGAAAAGATCAACAAAATAGACAGACCACTAGCCAGATTAATAAAAAAAGAAAAGAGAGAATAACCAAATTGATGCAATAAAAAATGATAAAGGGGATATCACCACAGATTCCACAGAAATTCAAACCATCATCAGAGATTATTACAAACAACTCTAGGCACATAAACTAGTAAACCTGGAAGAAATGGATAAATTCCTGGACACTTGCCTCCTCCCAAGCCTAAACCAGGAAGAAGTTGAAACCCTGAATAGACCCATAACAAGGTCTGAAGTTGAGGCAGCTATTAAGAGCCTACCACCCAAAAAAGGCCCAGGTCCAGACGGGCTTACAGCCGAATTCTACCGGACATACAAAGAGGAGCTGGTACCATTCTTTCTGAAACTATTCCAAATAATCCAAAAAGAGGGAATCCTTCCCAAATCATTTTATGAGACAAACATCATCCTGATACCAAAACCTGGCAGAGACTCAACAAGAAAAGAAAACTTCAGCCCAATATCCATGATGAACATAGACGCAAAAATCTTCAATAAAATACTGGCAAGCCGACTGCAACAGCATATCAAAAAGCTTATCCACCATGATCAAATAGGCTTCATCTCAGGGATGCAAGAGACTTAAAGAGAGCCAAATCAAGAACGAACTGCCATTCACAATTGCTACAAAGAGAATAAAATACCTAGGAATACAACTAACAAGGAACGTAAAGGACCTCTTCAAGAACTACTCAACCAAATAAGAGAGGACACAAACAGATGGAGAAACATGGTTAGGAGGAATCAATATCGTGAAAATGGCCATACTGCCCAAAGTAATTTACAGATTCAACGCTATCCCCATCAAGCTACCAATGACCTTCTTCACAGAACTGGAAAAAACCACCTTAAACTTCATATGGAACCAAAAGAGAGCCCGCATAGCCAAGTCAATTCTAAGCAAAAAGAACAAAGTGGGAGGCATCACACTACCTGACTTCAAACTATACTACAAGGCTACAGTAATCAAAACAGCATGGTACTGGTACCAAAACAGAGATATAGACCAATGGAACAGAACAGAGGTCTCAGAGGCAACACAACATATCTACAACCATCTGATCTTTGACAAACCAGGCAAAAACAAGCAATGGGGAAAGGATTCCCTGTTCAATAAATGGTGTTGGGAAAGCTGGCTAGCCATGTGCAGAAAGCAGAAACTGGACCCCTTCCTGACACCTTACACTAAAATTAACTCCAGATGGATTAAAGACTTAAACATAAGACCTAACACCATAAAAACCCTAGAAGAAAATCTAGGCAAAACCATTCAGGACGTAGGTGTAGGCAAGGACTTCATGACCAAAACACCAAAAGCATTGACAACAAAAGCCAAAATAGTCAAATGGGACCTAATCAAACTCCACAGCTTCTGCACAGCAAAAGAAACAATCATTAGAGTGAATCGGCAACCAACAGATTGGGAAAAAAATTTTTGCAGTTTACCCATCTGACAAAGGGCTGATATCCAGAATTTACAAAGAACTAAAACAGATTTACAAGAAAAAAACTAACAAGCCCATTCAAAAGTGGGCAAAGGATACGAACAGACACTTTACAAAAGAAGACATATGTGAGGTCAACAAATATATGAAAAAATGCTCATCATCACTGGTCATCAGAGAAATGCAAATCAAAACTACATTGAGATACCATCTCACGCCAGTTAGAATGGCGATCATTAAAAAATCTGGAGACAACAGATGCTGGAGAGGATGTGGAGAAACAGGAACACTTTTACACTGTTGGTGGGAGTGTAAATTAGTTCAACCAT